TGGAATGGTCATTTTCCTTGGATTTTGAAGGCGATGCCTCACAGATTCGGCCTTAGGGTACTCTCCAACAAAGATGAAGTCTAGCAATGGCCGATTTGGGCGGAAATTTGGACGAATTTTTTCTGATAGCATTTTCGTAAATTTTGGGCGATTTTTTCGGGAGGCCGTTTTCCTTCGATTTTGAAGGGTGCAGATCACGGATTCGGCCTGAGGCTATTATTTTGGGATGAATAAGTCTATTAGAGAGCGATTCGGTCGGAAAACTGCCGGGGCAATTTTTGCCAGATTCCAAAGGGGTACAATCACCGATTTCGGCGATTTTTTGGAATGATCATTTTTCTTGGATTTTGAATGCGATGCATCACAGATTCGGCCTTAGAGTACTCTCCACCAACGATGAAGTCTAGGAATGGCCGATTTGGGCGGAAATTTGGACGAATTTTTTCGGATGGCATTTTCGTAATTTATAGCCGATTTTTTCGGGAGGCCGTTTTCCTTCAATTTTGAAGGGTGCAGATCACGGATTCGGCCTGAGGCTATTATTTAGGGATTAATAAGTCTATTAAAGAGCGATTCGGTCGGAAAACTCCCGGGGCAATTTTTGCCAGATTCCAAAGGGGTACCATCACCGATTTCGGCGATTTTTTGGAATGGTCATTTTCCTTGGATTTTGAAGGCAATGCATCACAGATTCGGCCATAAGGCACTCTCCACCAACGATGAAGTCCAGCAATGGCCGATTTGGGCGGAAATTTGGACGAATTTTTTCGGATGGCATTTTCATAATTTTTAGGCGATTTTTTGGGTAGGCCATTTTCCTTCAATTTTGACGGGTGCAGATCACGGATTCGGCCTGAGGCTATTATTTAGGGATGAATAAGTCTATTAAAGAGCGATTCGGTCGGAAAACTCCCGGGGCAATTTTTGTCAGATTCCAAAGGGGTACCATCATCGATTTCGGCGATTTTTTGGAATGGTCATTTTCCTTGGATTTTGAAGGCGATGCATCACAGATTCGGCCTTAGGGTACTCTCCACCAACGATGAAGTCTAGCAATGGGTGATTTGGGCGGAAATTTGGACGAATTGTTACGGATGACATTTTCGTAATTTTTAGGCGATTTTTTCGCGAGGCCGATTTCCTTCGATTTTGAAGGGTGCAGGTCACGAATTCGGCCAAAGGCTATTATTTAGGGATGAATAAGTCTATTAAACAGCGATTCGGTCGGAAAATTCTCGGGGCAATTTTTGCCAGATTCCAAAGGGGTACCATCACCGATTTCGGCGATTTTTTGAAATGGTCATTTTCATTGGATTTTGAAGGCGATGCTTCACAAATTCGGTCTTAGGGTACTCTCCACCAACGATGAAGTCTAGCAATGGCCGATTTGGGTGGAAATTTGGACGAATTTTTTCGAATGACATTTTCGTAATTTTTAGTTGGTTTTTTCGGGAGGACGTTTTCCTTCGATTTTGAAGGGTGCAGATCGATTCGGGCTGAGGCTATTAATTAGCGATGAATAAGTTTATTAAAGAGCGATTCAGACGGAAAACTCCCGGGGCAATTTTTTCTAGATTCAAAAGGGTACCATCACCGATTTCAGCGATTTTTTGGAATGGTCATTTTCCTTGGATTTTGAAGGCGATGCATCACAGATTCAGCCTTAGGGTACTCTCCACCAACGATGAAGTCTAGCAATGGCCGATTTGGGCGAAAATTTGGACGAATTTTTTTGGATGGCATTTTCGTTATTTTTAGGCGATTTTTTCGAGAGGCCGTTTTCCTTTGATTTTTAAAGGTGCAGATCACGGATTCGGCCTGAGGCTATTATTTATGGATGAATAAGTCTATTAGAGAGCGATTCGGTCGGAAAACTCACGGGGCAATTTTTGCCAGATTCCAAAGGGGTATCATCACCGATTTCGTCGATTTTTTGGAATGGTCATTTTCATTGGATTTTGAAGGCGATGCCTCACAGATTCTTCCTTAGGGTACTCTTTACCAAAGATGAAGTCTAGCAATGGCCGATTTGGGCGGAAATTTGGACGAATTTTTTCGGATGACATTTTCGTAATTTTTAGGCGATTTTTTCGGGAGGCCGTTTTCCTTCGATTTTGAAGGGTGCGGATCACGGATTCGGCCCGAGGCTATTATTTAGAGATGAATAAATCTATTAGAGAGAAATTCGGCCGGAAAACTCCTGGGCAATTTTTGCCAGATTTCAAAGGGGTACCATCACCGATTTCGGCGATTTTTTTGGAATGATCGTTTTCCTTGGATTTTGGAGACGATGCCTCACAGATTCGGCTTTAGGGTACTCTCCAACAAAGATGAAGTCTAGCAATGGCGTATTTGGGCGAAAATTTGGACGAATTTTTTCGGATGACATTTTCGTAAATTTTAGGTGATTTTTTCGGCAGGCCGTTTTCCTTCGATTTTGAAGGGTGCAGATCACAGATTCGGCCTGAGGCTATTATTTAGGGATGAGCAATTCTATTAGAGAGCGATTCGGTTGGAAAACTCCCGGGACAATTTTTGCCAGATTCCAAAGGGGTACTACCATCACCGATTTTGGCGATTTTTTGGAATGGTCATTTTCCTTGTATTTTGAAGGCGATGCCTCACAGATTCGGCCTTAGGGTACTCTCCAACAAAGATGAAGTCTAGCAATGGCCGATTTGGGCGGAAATTTGGACGAATTTTTTCTGATGGCATTTTCGTAAATTTTGGGCGATTTTTTTGGGAGGCCGCTTTCCTTCGATTTTGAATGGTGCAGATCACGGATTCGGCCTGAGGCTATTATTTAGGGATGAATAAGTCTATTAAAGAGCGATTCGGTTGGAAAACTGCCGGGGCAATTTTTGCCAAATTCCAAAGGGGTACCTTCCCTGATTTCGGCGATTTTTTGGAATGGTAATTTTCCTTGGATTTTGAAGGCGATGCATCACAGATTCGGCCTTAGGGTACTCTCCAACAAAGATGAAGTCTAGCAATGGCCGATTTGGGCGGAAATTTGGACGAATTTTTTCGGATGGCATTTTCGTAATTTTTAGGCGATTTTTTTGGGAGGCCATTTTCCTTCGATTTTGAAGGGTGCAGATCACGGATTCGGCATGAGGCTATTATTTGGGGATGAATAAGTCTATTAGAGAGAGATTCGGTCGGAAAACTCCCGGGGCAATTTTTGCGAGATTTCAAAGGGTGTACCATCACCGATTTCGGCGATTTTTTGGAATGGTCATTTTCCTTGGATTTTGAAGGCGATGCATCACAGATTCGGCCTTAGGGTACTCTCCACAAACGATGAAGTTTTGCAATGGCCGATTTGAGCGGAAATTTGGACGAATTTTTTCGGATTGCATTTTCGTAATTTTTAGGCGATTTTTTCGGAAGGCAATTTTCCTTCGATTTTAAACGGTGCAGATCACGGATTCAGCCTGAGGCTATTACTTAGGGATGAATAAGTCTATTAAAGAGCGATTCTGTCGGAAAACTCCCGGAGCAATTTTTCCAGATTCCAAAGGGGTACCATCATCGATTTCAGCAATTTTTTGGAATGGTCATTTTCCTTAGATTTTGAAGTCGATGGATTACAAATTCGACGTTAGGGTACTCTCCACCAACGATGAAATCTAGCAATGGCCGATTTGGGCGGAAATTTCGACGAATTTTTTTGGAGGGCATTTTCTTAATTTTAGGCAATTTTATAGAAATGTCATTTTCCTTCGATTTTGAACAGTGCAGATCACGGATTCAGACTGAGGCTATTCTTTGGGTTACAAAATCCTATAATCCTAACGTGACAAAACCATACATAATTGGTCATTCTATTTACAGCTCTACTGTCACCATTCTATAACAATCAACACATAGTTATAGTTGACCCTTAACATAAATACATGCAACTAAGATAATTATCTTACGGTTAGTATAGAAGGATTCACCTAACAAAAATTTATCACAATGGTATGGGTTAACGAATTTTTGTGTTTGTTTGAATTGAATTAGTCTTTTAGCAATTTTTATAGGCTGAAAATGAACTTGCTTTCAAGTTTTCATCCAACATAATGTATGAAATTTATCTAAATTAGGGGTTCATATGTTGTGGTCTACACTCTACATATATAAATATACATTATAGGAACAATATCAAGCTTTAAATTTTATGAGTCTAAAAGGGATGAACGTTCAACTCTTGAGTGGTTATTCAAAGTATTAAGCATGTGTATATATTAGATATATGGTTATTTATTTATCTGGTTAATTTGGTTTGGCTGGTTATGAGTGTCTGAAACCAAACCAAACCCCCCTAAACCAAACAAGCTAAAAACTTTAACCAAACCAAACCAATCATCCAAATTAATCAAACCGAATTATCCAAACAGTACTGGTTAAAACGGTTACCATGATAACCACACCGTTTCAACACCCCTGTCCTACCTCAACAACTCTAAAATCTATGAACGAACAGGACAAGACATTACATGTGCATGATACCATTTTGCGTTTGAAGTTTACAGAGCACTTGGATTGTATAGAATTTGTAGGGATGGAGCTGGGTAACACTCATAAATCTCTACCAAGCTGTTTTCCCATTTCTGGGTACAGCCATTGAGTGCAGATGATACTCCCCATCCCTTGCAATTTATCACCATTCACAGTGAATGATGGTAAATTGGGGATTAGTCTCTGCAGTATGTCAGTTGCTCAATTGTTAAAGATGAGTCAGTTACATAGAACACCCACCAAACCCTGATTCGTTAACAGATCATATATCAGCAAGCTTTGATGTCCAACATATCTAGCCATTCAAGTTTGGAGGACTAACTAACAAACTAATCGCTCCATCCATCGGGTTAAAGCTTGGAGGATGATAATCCAAAGCTGAACATAAATCTATATGGACTGATCATACAAAGAGCAACAGACAATTGCAGAATGGAGCAACAGAGGAATGTATATGCAGAATCAAGCAATCACACGAAGAAGTGGTAAGGAGGTCAAATGAAAGGGACGACGGTAGAATCTCGGGACCGCCGGTTTCTGCGAAAGGACAAGACACAGCAGACTACAGCCATGGTGAAGCAGGAGAGGGCAGAGCGCACTGCTTCAAAAATTGCAGCGAATCGGAGCTCCTGAAGCCCCCATAGGGTCCCGAACAACAAACCCATGTGGTGAACCGCCACCGCGAGCATCATTATCGGCATCTTCTGAATAAAAATCTCAAGCGATTAAAAGGACAGGAAGTCGAATTGAGTTGACTATGGGAATGGAATGGCGATCGTCGGCGGGGGTTGAGGCATTGGAGGTTGAGGGAAAGGGAAATAAGAAGAACACAACCACGGTTGCTGGTGTTGTAAGCAAACGAATCAGAATTCAGACGTATTTGTCCTCCGTCTTGTCTTTTTGTATAGCAGCGAAGCTTCCTGGTAGCTTCGTCGCCGCTTTGTGGATTAATCCTCTTTCGGAGATCTACCGTCCGTCAAAAGAATCTACTGCTCCGGCGACGGCTTCAAGACTTAGGAAGGGGGCTAGAGAGGCCGATCGGAGGTGGGATTGATTGATTGATATGATCGGTGGAAAAGGTGGGGATGGTAATCGGTGCCGGGAGCGAATTACTGCGCTGTGATTTGGACATGTGGGAAGAAGAGAAAGGAAGAGAAACCCCTCAAGAAAAAACAGAGTGCTCTGCTCTGCAACTAGAAAAGAATATTCTGTCTGAATATTCCTCTTTTCCCTCATCAATCTCTTGACAGCGCGCTGCTTCGTTGGTAATGGATTGGTGCCAACAGATTGGATACCTCCCTCCGTTTTGGCCCTTGGGCCTTTACCCGCTTCCTTTTAGGGATGGTTGGGCTTTTCTTTTTTGTGCAAGAGGATGCTTGGGCTTTTAGCCCTTTTTAGATCGGTCTGTCTTTGGACAATTTTATTTGTTCTTTATTTTTACTGTGATGTTAAATATGTATCAGTAACAGTTTTTTTTTTTTTGGTATATCCTAAATTTTAAGTGTATAAAAAATTCTGTTTCTTTCAATTTCAAATTAAGAAAATATATCTTGTGGAATGACGTATCATTTTAATATGTGGTACGCATTCGTGGTGTATACAACATAAATCATTTGAGTGTTTGGCTGAGCGTTAGTTTGGGCATGGGAAAATTATTGTTAGTTCAAGGCTAGTTCATAAAGTGAACTATATAGACAAATATATGTGGCATACAAGATAATCAATTATCGTGAAGAGGAAGAAAGAGAATATGTGGCATAAAGTGACTTCAATAAGATATGAGACACAACCAATTTTCTCTATCAAACAAGAATTCGAATGATCTTTGTTGCTACCAGTTTTTAAATTAGGCTAACTTGACGTCATATACTTTCATGTTAACTATTTTCAAACCAAGAACGGCACATTTATAATAAACTAATTCAATACGAATTTAGTCAATTTACTAATGGCCCCAAAGTCATTGGTTTCCCTATGAACATGAAAAGAACATGGATCATCAACCCGCTGGCATCAGTTTCCAAACTGTGAAAACGAGGGCAATGACTTTAAGGATGTGTGATGATACGGTGTGAGACTGTAAGTTGAAGAGTTCCAATGAATTGAAGGGCGGGTTGGCGTGTAAATGTGGCAACAAACCAGAGGGGATCGATGAGTGAAAGTTGGGAAAATGGTTGCTGTGGTTTGTTGAGCGGCCAGCTTCCTTCCTTCGAATTCGGTGAGTTTTGACCTACTTGGGATGGGAGCAGATAGCCCCTGCGACACGGCACCAAATGATCTCAATTTGCTTAGCAAATAGGTATCCTTAGTTTCAAGTTTCATGAAGTAGAGTTTTATCTTTCTTGATCTAGAACGAGATTGATTTTCATGAGGAGAGGAAGTAAAATAGTCAGGACGTGATTGAAGTCAATTAATTACCGTGTGGTTCTCTTGAAATTACTTTAACTCATACATTACATGACGTGATTGCTTTGTAACAAGTGAAATCCTCTTCTTTGAAAGCTAACCAGATGTAAATGTAGAGATCGATTTACGCTCCTCCTCGTGGCTTTACGTAAGAAAGATAAGTTAGGGTGATATGTTTCCATCTAATCTCTCTTCATCCGTAGATGGACAAGAATAATAATAATAAAAAAGCGATCAGAGTGATCTAAGAAATAATCATAGATGATTATGTCTTCATTTTATATCACTAACTCTTACATGTGAAATTATTGACACGGCGGCAACGATACACCAATTTTTTTTACCCGAATGCGTTGGTATTGAAGAACACAACCCTGCTATATAACAATGTTGAAATAGCTTGGGTTAACAATACTTCTCTAACTGTGTTTGTTAACACCGTATCATGGCGGCAATCCGCCAAAAAACCTCCTGCGTACGAAAATCTAAACTGGTAGGGGATCTTTACCTGTGGTATAACCACGTTTTCATCCCAAAATATCCCATTGATGTTCTTCCATATACAACCTCTGGTACGATTGTATAATCCACATTCTTAATTAAATTTTATCTCTTGAAATTCCATTTCTTACACTTTTTATCATCTCAAACATTATTATAAGTTTTTGGATGAAACTCCTGAAAGGTTTTACAGCCAAACAACATATTTACTCACCTTTTTACCCCTCTCAAGTTAAAATAGCATGCTGGGAATGATGAGCACCATTGCTCAATTGGTGTGTTGGCCTTATGACACAGCCATGGAACTAGCGGTGCCGCCCTGGTTCGAGCATTGGTAGTGACCTCTATTTCTCTCTCTCTCTCTCACTGTGTGTGTATATGTATATGTAGGCAACATGTCAGCCCTAAAGAGGTATTCCTTTTTTTCCGCCAATAAGTCACTCAATTAAGAGGAATAATAATGTACAAAGTTAACGGGTACATAACCAATGAGCAAAGTCGAACCTCGAGAACAAGTGAGGCGACAGTAATAGGGCATGACGAGCTACCAAGTGAGCCGCCCTATTTCGAACACGTCCAACAAACCGAACATGGTAATTACAGTGCACCCTAACCAAATGAGCAATTTCAATCAACAAAGAACCAACCTTCGCATCATGAGTGATCCCATTATTGCAATGATCGATAAGAATTTTTGCATCCCCAGAAACAAGGCCGATTCCAACCCTAAAGAGATATTTGACTCGCTAAAACACAACTCCTAACAATGGCCAAGTGTAACCAATGAAAGGGACTGCAGTATAGTGGTACAAGTAGTAAATATCGAATCCACGGGTCTCTAGAGTTACTATTACTCAGCTTCAATTCATTATCTAGCAAAACAGATTAAGATGAAAGAACTAAAACTACTCTAGCAAACTACAGTTAAAGTTAATCTAATTACAGGTTGGGAACTCACTTAGGTATGATTCCCCCTAGCCACTAGCCAGATTAACGATTGATGATCTCTAACTTGTTTCACTTTCATTCACAATGCGGAGAATCCTTGACTAGACCTTGAGTCTCGACTAAAGGAACAAGGCCCTCTTGAGTCAATTGCCTAGAGGGACGTATCCTTCTCTAGAACAATCGATCAAGGCGTTCTGAACTAGACTCCCTCTATCGAATGAGGTTCTCAATCGATACAAAACAGTGAATCAACCCTCGACTAAAGCAATCGATCCACTACTATCAATCTATGGTGCTCTATTGACCTAATCAGGTATTCGCTCTCATAGGATCAAAGCAGAATCAATAATCTCGACAAAAGCAGAATTGAATCGTGAAAACATGCATAGATTGAATATGAACTCAAGATTATCAAGTCAGAGTACTCATACAATCATCCAATCAAACAAACATGGCTAGGGTTCCTCAAAACCTAAGTGAAGGGAAGTTACTCCATAGAGAAGAGAGAGACTGCAGTAAGAATCTTCAGATGATCAGTCTTCAAGTCCGGGCTTGTTCCCCGAGCTTCCAAGGCGAAGAAATCCTCCAATTCCACTCCAAGAATGCCCTCAAATCGCTCTCTCTCTCTCTTTGGTTCATCCCTAGGGTGTTTGGGATCCAAAACCCAGCTCTCCCTCTCCAAAAATCGCAAAACAGCTTTTATACCCGCTGAAACTCGCACCCCCTACTTGCACGGCCGTGCAAATTGAGGTTTTGGCCGTGCAGACCCCTTGGGAAACCCGCACGGCCGTGCAGAATTTCACACGGCCGTGCACAATTTCCAGCATGCACTCCTAAGCTTCGTTGATCTCGTTTGAGCTCGTTTGACCTCCGATTCAGTCGTCGTTTGATCCCAGACGCTCGTAGTCTCGCCCTCTTTCTTTTCATAACAAGCTTGCATGATTCTTTGTCCATAAAGTGAGGTAGAAATCCATTCTTCTTCAGGTCATGCCCGAGTTTCTTCTCCCGAATCGTCAATTGATCTCTGATTGACTTGAAACTTGCGCCTATACTTCACTTTATGTGCTAGGACCTGAAATGTGAGAAAGGAACACAACCTAGCATAAAATAGGCCAAAGACACGATAATTCAAGCTGAAACAATCAAGAAACAAAGGGGAAAACATGTGCAAATACCGAGTCATCAAATCCCCCCACACTTAACTGTTTGCTTGTCCCCAAGCAAACCTAACTCAAACCAATGCAGCTCTCCAGAGCTCTATAGAAACATACAACCCCGATCGTCGGTAGAGGATTTCCTAGATCATATAGCAGCTTACAAGGTCAACTGGTCTTCTAAGACGTTCCCTATCTCTCTCAATGCGAGTACTAGACTCAAGCCAGGATCATGAGAAAAAGTAGAAGTAAGACAGTCAGTTCATGGATAAAGGGACTCACACCATTCACAACCAAGGACTCGTTGTACCGGGGTGCTCTTTCACTTCATTTCACCGTTGGAACCCCTTTTCTCACTTTCATTTACATTTTTTCTTTCATTTGGTGGGGTTCCAACTGCAGTCTTTTGCACGGTCGACCCTTATTAGTCGAGCAAGAGCAATTTCTGTACATCTGGCGCTCGCCAGAGTACTTCTTTTAACTCCTTTTCCTCAACTCGTGTGGAGGGTCAATGAAATTAAGGGGGGTCGGAAGCTCTATCCGTGCCCTTAAAAACACATCCTCAAGTAGGCAAACCGTTCAACGGGTGAAAATTTTACTTGTACTAGAGACAGCTTAGCTTCACCTTGTAGGAGTACCCCATTAAGGATTACTAA